GTCCTTTATAACAACGCAGCTCTGTGACCTAATATGCCTTAAAAAAGGATGAGACGAATTCAGCAGCTTCCTGTGAGATTCAAATGAGAATGAGTGAAACATTCGGAATCTGTGAGACTCATGTTAGAGGAATGTTGTGATTTTATCCACCTGCTCTTCAGGTGAATCATGTACAGAAGAGGATTAGGGCTATTAAGACCACTGAAAACAAAACAACAAAGAATTCAGACTTTCTTCTCAGAATTTTGACTTTTTTTTCCTCAAATTTTTACTTTAGTCTTCTGATATCAAGTCAGGATTCTTTCTTTGTTTTATTCACCCTTTTTGTGTAATTTTATTATTTACCTGTTGTTTCAATGAAGAAAAAAATTAACAATAAAAATGCATCATTGCCTTCCTTTGAGTTTGACACAGTTTCACTAATTTTCTTCCCTGAAAATAATTCAGTGTCAACTCTATTTTTTTAATCAACCCTGAGATTTAAATGTTGCAGGTCTGACCCAGCACTAGTATTACTTGACCTTATTCCATAATATGCAGATACTCTGTCTGCACTAGTGAAGATTTGCTCAATTGAATGTGAGCTACTGTAACTTTAATTTTTGATGTCATTTGGGAGAAGTATTTGAGTTTTGACATTTCATTCCCTGATTGTCAGCCAACTCTGACATCTGCAAAAAATAAAATCAGACATCTGATTTTTTTTATACTATGTATAGTATGCAAGCATCTATAGTAAAATGTTGTGCTGTTAGAATATGTTGCCTTTCTTTTTTTACATGGTAAGCAATGTGTTCCTTATTCCATAACCTACAGACATGTGGCAAACCTTTTGTTGTCAATATACCCCAGCAGAGGAGACTGCAACCTCCTGCAGACTGCGTAAATCTGAGCACTTTAAAGTCACCGCCTTTCCAAGCCTGTACGTTCATTTTATATTCTATATAAATGAGTAATAACTAATCAGATAATGAACTTTCTTTTCTATTTCCCAATGTCAAATCAAATCATGCCAATAATGGGTTGACAGTCGTACCTCCTACAGTAAATACACATTCATATTTTTGAATGTGTATTCCTTCCATCAATGAAAACATTGATTTGATTTGATTTCTTTTGTGAAGATTGCTTTTTTTTTTTCCATGTACGAATGTGTCTCGCCTCAGATCAAACAGCATCAAAGCCTTTCTTCGGGTTAGGCCCACAAGCTCAGTGTCACAAACAGTTGGCGGTCCCGAAATGTTATGATAGAAATGAAAAGAAAACAATGAGTGACGCTTCCTGGCAAGACTGTCAGTCCTGTAAAACCGATCTGCTCTGCTACTGAGCTGTGAAGTTCACGCGTCTCCAGGCGAGAGGAGATGAAAGGGAAACGAGGCTCGATAGCAAACGAAGCAAATGCTTTCCTCGTTTTTGTTTTACTTTCTTTTTGTCGGGGCGAGTTGCGGCAACATCCTGGTTGAAAGGTGACGCCATGCTTCCCACTAGGAATTGGACTTTGTAGTGTGTCCCTCGTGTTAAATCACAAAGAAGCGGGCGTGTGACGCAACACGAGCCAACGCAGCGCCGCTTGAACAATACACAAGTCGTACATCGGCCTCTGTTCTTGCAGACGCCGACTTCCTGCACCGTAAAAACTCAAGGACGTCGTTATGGAGGTCGATTTGTTGGGTGTGCTTCTCTTCCGAGCCGAGGTCCATCCTTCCCAGTTTCTGTTTTGTCTTCTAAAACGGACCAGACTCACCATCAGCTTCTCTTCCCCTGGCATGCAAAACATGATGTAAAGAGAGACGAGAGCAGTTCTGCAGAAGAAGATGTAAAAAACATGGCGAACATAACCGCACACATTTTTACACCAGAAAGACATGACCTCAGAAAACAGAGAAAGCGGCTTTAAAATGAAGCTCTCTGCCCTGTGTGTAGAAGTAATTTCCCTCTAAACCTAATAACTGCTTCTGTCACCCTTCAAACAGCTGCAGTTACGAATTTGTGAGAACTGAGGATGAGTCTTTATACAGGAAGAATCTGCGTAGAGACGCCTCAATTCAGCCACAGCGCAGTTTCAAAGCATGAACAGGTTTTTTTTTTTTTTTGTTTTTTTCCATAGAGAATATCAACCGGATTCCGATTTGGGGTAAACGTGTCTTCATGTCAGGGAAATATTTACCCATTTGCTGCCAGAGCTTTTTGCAAGGACCTCTTCCCTGTGTGAAGGAGAGGAGTTAGGGCAAAAAAAAAAAAAACATGTCAGAGGCAGCTGGAAGCTCAGCAGAGACTTGAACCTGTTATTTTTATCTGCCCATCACTTGTTAGTGGCAGGCAGAACAACAAACACACCCACGTGTTGAATCGTAGTAGCAGATTTCCCACCCACTTTATTTCAATGATGGGGCAAAAGAAAATATAAGATACAAGCCTTTTCATGCATACAAGTGTGGACCGGTGTGAAATAGCTTTTGGCAGACGTTTTGGTTTCCATCTGGGTGTATCATGCCCACAGTGCATACAAATACCAAGCAGGGTTACAGCGCCCACTAAAAAGAGTCATTACCACAGACAACACCAAACTCAGATTGTTTATTTGTGTGTGTGGATTTTCTCCGGTGGCTCAGTTGCATACATATTTAAGCATGCTGCTGTCTAGTGCAACTCATCCCTCCTCTTGACTGTTTAATTTTCCATTTTGGAAAGAGTCACAAAACGTGTTATCTTCAGCTGGTAGACAAATCCTACCTTCACTCTGCTCGGCCGCCGCTGCTGCTTCTAATGTAAGGAAAGGAATGCAGAATAACATCAATTTGACTGAAGCTCTAACTTCATGTATCATTCCTGCGACTATGGCTGCAGTGTTAGAGAAAGGAGTCACCTTTGTCGAGATTTGAAAGAGGCTGTCTGGCAGGGACATCATGGCTCAAGAGGGGCATCCTCTGTCCCAATCGTAGAATGAGTTTAAATTCAAGACACAGGCTCACTTCTGCTTTTTTTTTTTGTCAGGTCAAAACTGCAAACTTCAATGCATTTCTTTGGAATTTAATGTCATAAGCCATCACCATTTTCCTTTTAATCTCACGAATGAAATTCTGAAATGGGTGGTGGATTTGTATTCAGTGGCTGCTGCTCTGTAAGAACCGTAGTTTGTGGAAATGACAGCTGGAAGTTTCGGGGTCTCAGTCGGCTTTACATTTCTAAATATTGTGAATCCCCTCACCCTCCACAGTCAAATTAGACACCTCCAACAAACTTCTGCAACATTTAAAAAACAGCTGTTTTTACCGAAGACCATGAATGCTGCCACAGAGGTCACCGGTGTCAGCTCACTTAATGGAGTTTGGCATTTCTGTTGACGGGGTACCAGGTTTTACAGGTCAGGAAGTCTTACACCAGCATCCCATGCTTTGAAATAACGACCCGCCGCTTCGCGGTTGTGCCGGAGCTTCTGAGTCGACGTTTGAAAGATGACATGAAGCTTTAGCTGAAGACTTGGCCTCTTTCTGTCAGTGAGGCGAAGGCGGAAGCTGTGGGCCGTCATAAAGAAATCACACAGGGAGGGAAAGTGTTGCGAGCTTTATGTAGGAGCAAAGGGTTTTATTGAAGGTTGGGAAATTGGTTCAGCTGTGAGGCGAAATTGCATTTAACCTACATTTTGAGCATTCCAGTTAGTACTTATAGAGATGTGACATAATGAGCTTTTTACACTTTTGTTTTTGACCCTTACAATTTTGAACATTTGCACTGTTTTGGGGGGGTTAGTTTACAGGAATGATCACTTGTTCTGTACGGTCTTAAAACATACGTTCATATCAACAGTTGTGTCAAAAACCAACACAATTGCTGGATGAATTGTTTGTTTTGAAGGTGTGTTGTTCTGAGTTCTGTTATTTCTCTGATGAATTAGACAAACTATCACTTCTTTCCTCCAGCAGATGTGAGCAGTTGTACACACAAATCCTCAGGCGCAAACTGTTTTCCACTGCTGACTTTTGTTTTCACTTCTGTTTAATAATGACCTGTCCGCTGACCGCTTTAAAGCCAAAACCTGCCTTTACTTTGCGAAATGTCTTTTCTCTCGTTCTGTGTTCAGAGACTCAGGGACGTGAAAAGAATGAGGATATTTTGTTTTCTGCTCGACTTTGAATTAGACAAATACTTACTGTGAAGTAACATAAACCAAATATAGGGTTAGGATATTTGTGTTTCGATCATTTTCTTTTTAGCTTTTTCAGTTTAGTGGGTTTTGTGACATTATGTTTTTCTGCCTGTGTTCATTGTTAGTGCTTTTTGTGACCTTTGTGTTTAGTTTCTTTGTTAATTCTTTTCTTATCTTCTTTGTGCTTTTAGATTTATGTGTCTTATCAGTATTTTTCTTTTCCATTGGTTTTTTAGTTCCTTTAAGTTGGTTGGTTTCTCTCTTCTGTTCCCTGCTCTCAGTCAGCCACAGCTGCTCCACATCTCCTCTGATCAGCTCCTCTGTCCACCGCAGCGCTGGAGCCGATTCTTCTCTTCCTTTGCCCACCAGAACTTGCATCACATCCGGTAACAACTATTCACTCAACATTTTGAAGGATGTTTGCTGCGTTTCAACCTCAGACATTTAATTTGGTGCTCCTGACTGTTGAGGAGAGTCGATGCCATCTTGAGGTCCAAATGTGTGGAAGATGCTCTACAGGTGGAAAAACGTTCAGAACAGCTGCCTGGCTCTGCTTGTCTAAGCAAATGCAATTAAAGAAATGAGATTCAGGTCCTGATGCCACTGAGAGCCTGAGGGGTGACTTGAAACGGGCTGTAAATCCCCTCAGAGTGGGGCGAGCTTTCTTCAGACTGCTGTCAGAGGCCGACAGATGGCTACAAGTAGCTTCTCACTGAAGTTATTTCAGTAAAAGGGGGTAACACTGACAACTCCGTGGGGGGTGAGCAACCTAGTCTTTGAGAAGAACAAGACTTTGCATGTAGGACATCTTGTGACCCAAATGAAGCTACAGAACGTTTTATTTGCGCATCGTTGCCTTCGAAGACACAGAAACCTATAGCTCCAAAAGCAAGTCTGTAAACTATCGCTCTTTAATTAATACAAACAAGTTTAAAACAGGAAGTACTGAAGATGTTGTTTTTAATGACTGGTAAATGAACTAAATAAATAGATTGCATGAATGAGTCGCAAAACAAGACATAAATACAAACCTTGTTTTAACTAAAGCACATTTCCTTCATTAAAGTTACTTAACCGGTCCAGCCGCCGCTGGTCACTTGATTTATTATGGTTCTGCACACGGCTGCATCACTCCTTATGCGGAGCGATGTAAGAACGTAGGAGGCCCACAGTGGGCTTCGTCTGATATTAAAAGCGCCCGCTCTTTGTCGACACGTATCAGATTTCCGCCAGAAACCCTTGAATTAGCCATCGGTTTGCAATTTTTGTGCAAATTTAATCAGGCCTGCGGCGGAACACATCGCAAGATCTGAATACTGGCTTCGTACATAAATAAAACGGGAGAAAGGAGTTTGCAGGTTCGCGATAAAAATCAGCCCGCAGGACGGCGGGAGATTGACTGTCCGAACTCGACAGGTCCCTTACGGAGCCACGCTGCTTTTGTCTTCGACGGCGATGTCGCTCACGCCGTGGACCTGGGTGAGCTGCCTGCAGTCCAGAGAGGCCAGTAATTTCCTCGGTCCGGGAAGGGTGGGGACGAAGTGCTCCACGAAGGAGACGGAGGCATGTCCGCCGATATCTCTGCAGGGAGAACAGGAAATGACAGTAGCAGTCACAAAAGGGGGAAGAGACACCAGGTCATTAAAAAGAAAAGAAGATAAAAAGTAAAATAAAAAACCTCAGGACTGATATTAAGTTTATGTTTCTCCTGACTCACCCATGGTGAATCTTTTTCCCAGGTAGGAGGCCTATTCCTTCCAGGTGAAATACCACTGCTTTCAGCACCAGGGGTAGAGGGTTTGTGAAAGAAACCTCCACTTTCATCTTCTGCCCCACCACAGCCTTCCCAACCGGCTGCGTGATGGTGAAACAGGAAACACGACAAAATCAGAGCTGGGACTCAATCTCCTACTGCTTTGTTAAGATTTTCTGTGTTTTTTGTTGTTTACCTTTATAACGAGGTCTGGGGTCCTGAGTCGGAAGCTGAACTGCTTCGCCAGGACTTGCTGTGTTTCCATAACCCTGCCGGTAAGTGTGAGCATCAGGGCAGCCTGATCGATCAGCTGGTTCTTGTATGTGTCGTACTTCAACTCCCAAGTCAAATCGTTCACTGTAAAGCAAAAGCAAAAAGCTTGTTTAGGTTGGCAGCGTGTCTTGTCCAACAATTAGCTGTTGTTGGACGAGGAAGTTTCAAAAATTTATTCCATCAGTCGAGCTAGCGAGACAACAGACAGTAGTTTAAATTGATTGCTGCCTTGCAGAGATATTCAAACATCTTAAACTTTTTTTTGTAGGCCATCATGTCTCATTGTAAACCTACACTAACTAATGATTTTTTGGTTTGTTGTTGCAATGAGCAAAAATATGGAAAAGCTCAAAGAATACTTTTGTAAGGCCATCCTTACCCTCGTTGGGCAGAATCTGCTCGTCTACTTTGTCGCTTTTCACAGTGTCCTTGTGGACCCCGGTGTAGTACATGACGGCTAACTGGCTGTGCAACGTGACGGTGCGCGGCTCCGAGCTGACGTTCCTCAGCCTGATGGTCAGCTCTGCATCCTCCCCCATCCTGGGACCGACGCCCTCCATGATCACTTCTAAAGAGACGTCTTCCGCTGTCGGAGACGAGTAGGCGGCTGCTTTGGAGCCGTAGCTGCAGGCGGTTTCCACGGCAATACGTTCCTCCTCTGAGCCTGTTAAAAAGAGTAAAACACTCAAACATTTTGAGCAAATTCAAAATAAATTGATCATATGCCCTGACGGCTTTGGAAGCTGCTTGAGTTCTTTCATGAGGTTGTGTCATAGTTTTTTTTGTTTTGCCTTCTGGGTGTTTGTAAAGGTGTGTGATGTCCTGGCGTTCGTCTGAGCCCACAGCCTTGGTGCTGATGGAGAGACCCACGGTGTTCTTCTCGCTGTAGATTTGACTGAAGGTGCCGTCTTTGTTCTTCTGCCAGTATATTTTATCACTATTCACCTGGAAGAGGCGCAGGACCAGGTCAGCTTTTGGTCAACATCTTTCAGTCACTCCTAAAACATTGCGAGGCAAAATCCCTCCGACAAACCTCAGCGAACACGAAGGCGCAGTCGTGTTTGAGGTAGACCTCGCCGTTGCGGATGGCGCTGAGGGACGCCGGGCCGCAGCGAAATATGCCCTGACTGGTTTCCTGCGGCGTGGCGTCGACGGTTTGCCAGCCTCCGTAGCCAGGAGGCAAGTCTGGACGAGACATCCAGCAATCGGTCCACACGTGGAAGTTCCTATCGAAGAAGAAATAAAGAAAGGGGAAATGGTCCAAACTTAGAGGTTTTTGTTGTTGTTTTGTCGAACCCACGTATGTCATGACCTCTGGTGACGCACCAGATAGAGTCTGCATTAAGGTGTTCTATCGGCTCCATTTCCTCGTCCAGGTAGATGTCAGTCGTCAATGAGACGTCGGTATCGTGCGCCGAGCTAAAGTTGGTCACCGTTCGAGCAGGAATGCCTAGACAACGTAACACTGAAGCAGCACACCGATGGTGAGCGTGGATTCAAGACGGCCTTGTTGGGTCATCAAACCACAGACGCATCAGCTGACCTGTAGTGAAGACGCCAGCAAAGACCCAGCACTGGCCAAACTTAACGGGCGTTCCCCTGCTTTCATAGTATTTCTTCAGGATTTCCACACTTCCGCTCCACACGGTGGGGGACGTTCCCCGGGAATAGTCTCCTGACCAGTTTCCTTCCAAAACACCGAAGTCGTCGGGAGCGTTTACCTAGAAACCAAGACATAATCACAATTTATTCTGATGCGCTCAAACCAACTCGCTTTTTGAGAACTTTATCTAAAGAGTGCCATTTATCTCTACAGGAGAAACCTGAAGTGAGTGCAGCTCCCTATTGATGTCTTTGAAAGCGCTCCATTTTGGGAGTGAAGGAAAGACATACACAATGTTTTTTTTTCACAGATAAACCTTTGATATTTCTTGATGGAAAAAGAATAAAGATGAGAGCTGGCTGACTGCTGTTTCACTTTTACATAGACAGAAAGTCTTTGTGGGGATCCATTATTGATGATGCCCGTAAACATGACTGTGACACGTAGTTTGCTTTAAGCGTGATATAAACTGAGATCCCAGTTTCAGGTGCTCAACACCAAAAGATTTTTTTGTTGTTTTCACAAGATTTTTCAGCCTCAACAAAAAGGCAGATGGATAAAGCTGCAACTAAATTCATTCGTTCACTTCTAATGATTTGTTCAGACGGCTATAAAGCAACTAAAATAACGGCTCACATGTTGTCTGCAATTTATTTCTGCCGACCAGCGCAAACGCAGAGCTGGCAGAAAGCGGAAGTACGGAGACGATGGTGACTTTTTCCAGAAACGTCAAAGAAGAACAAACTGGAGAAAATTCAACTGCGTACCATTTTAGTGTTGTTGATTAAACAAGGCAGCGCAGCGACACAATTACTGTAACTAATGTCATGTTTTGCTGTCAGAGTAAGTGAATAAAAAGAAAATATTTCAATTATTAGCATGAGTAAGAGTAAGCAACAATGTTTACTCTCAAGAAATCAAAGATATAAGATTCAGAAACAGACAATGTTGTGATTCATTATTAAAACAGCTATAACGCACATGAAGGGTAAAAGCTTCAAAATTACATGATTACCGTCGCCTGCCTGATCAATACTCTCTGCTGGAAACGGCACTTATGTTTGGCACTTATATCCACTTTTTACATGAACATGATGTTGCACACTAACAGGCTGAGCTTGGAAACATTCTGGAAATTGATATTTATGTCATAAAAATGAAGAGTTTTCACATGGAAATGTGTTTTAAAGAAGTTGAAATGTGGACTGGGCGTAAAACTGGAACAACAACGCTATTTTAAACCCTGATACGTAAATCTGAAGCAGAGCAGATTAAGAAAATTAAGAGAAACTGAGCATATCGATCCCCTGTGGAGGGGCTGAAGAGAGACATTTATCACTCTAATCAAAAGTTAAATTGCAGAGAAGTGTAAAGCAGCGCATTTAACATTAAAGTATTCAGATCATCAGGAGACACGCCTCTACGTGGGAGACGAGGCGGCAAGGAAAGAAGAAACTGTTCTTGGATCTTCAAGCCCTCGGGCAACCTCGCTCTGAAAGGAGTCAGGATTCTGAAGTGGAAATCACTCCTTAGGCTCAGAAACGCTTCTACAAACCCAGGCGAGAAAATCTCACCGTTATTTTCAACTGCATGTTAAATCTCTGTCCTGCAAAGAACAAAAACTGGCCTAAAAAAAAGCACCCCTCACATATACACTGTTTCTACAATCCTTTAGATTCATGTCGAAGACGTTCTGATGTTGAACGGCCTCCTTTCTGTGCAGCAAAGAGAAGATTTTGTGATTCTTCCCCCAATTCTTCAATTTGGGCCTTGACACAATGAACCAAAGCTTAAATACATATTCAGAAAGCCTCTTTCACTTTAAAGCGGCAGACTTTTTTTAAATTTTTTGCATAAAATAGTAATGATTGTTGGATTGGTTGGAAGATAAAAGAGGGTCCAGGTGATCAGCTCCTTCCTCACCATGGCTGAGATGATCCGCGCCACATTAATCGGGTCGCCCCAACCTGAGTTTTGGGTTTGACTTCGATCCAACATGAAGAGGCAGGCGGCGAGGATCCCATCGTTAAACTGCCAGAAGAAGCACAGATTAGAGGTTAGTTTTGATGGACTCCGTTAAACAGCGGATGCTGCGTCCTCTTCCTCACCTGGCCGTAGTCCCACGTCCTCTCGCCGATCTGAAGCTGCGTGCCGTAGTAGATCCGGCCGACATCATTGAGGACGAACTCCTGCCTCTCCTTCTCAGAGTCCAGGAAAACGGAGTCATCTGGGAGAGCGAGGGAGGACCGTCGTCCAAAAAGCAAACAAAAATAAAGACAGCAAATAAAAATGACCGGAAGCCATTTGAGTTTTTCTTTGGCCAGTAAACACGGCAACCATGTTGCCTTGCGTCCGGGTGGATTAAAAGCGTCAGGTTTTTCATGCCGCAATTTTACGCTCCAGTTCGACTGGGAGCTTTTGTTTGAATTATTGCCGAGCAGATATCCTAATCATACATGCATAAAAAAACAAAAAGAATATCGCCTCCTACATAGATGTAGTGCTGTGACTGAGATGACATGAAAAGCTTGTAAGATGCAAGGCACCAAGCAGAGGTTATTTTTGCGTATGTTTTCTATTTATTGGGATTTTATGTGGTGGACCAACAGAAAGTAGTCTGAACTTGTGCAGTGGAAGGAAGAGGATTCATGGTTCTGGAGCGGATTAAGGCCTAGACTTTGACTGGGCCACTCAAAACACACAGATGTGTATTGATCTCATCCATTTGATTTTACCTCTGCCTAAATGTTAAAGGTTTTCCGTCCTGCTGGAAGGTGATCTGAAATGTTCTCGCAAATGTCAGCATGTATTTAACTCAATTTTTATTATTTTATCTACGTTGACGTTGACTATTTTCGTTGTAAGGAAAGCATCCCAGCTGCATGATGCTGCCGCCACCGTGTTTCGTATTGTGTTCATGTTAATCCACAGGCTCAATCTTTTTTTCTCTACTATAGTCTTTGGCATAATGCTGAAAAGTGATATTTTGGATACATAAAAGAACAGCTGCTTTTTCAACGACACATTAATGTGTTTATACTGAACTAAAGCAAGAATGATGCCACCATGCTGACATAGTCAGTTTATTTCAAAGAGCCTACAGAAATCAGTGGTGCGTGGACTGAACCTGGAGGTTTGGGGTCGTTTCATCCACCGTCTTAGATTACCTTCACACCAGGGGTTGAACAGCATGTAGATGTCGTTGGCGGGGTCGTGTCTGGAGGTGGCCTTGCCGTTGGCGCAGCTTGTTTCCACGGTGAGCTGGTACCTGCCTATGATGGCCGTGGGAGGCGAATTCACAGACAGCTTCAACCTCTTGTCGTCCCGCTCAACGACCGCGGCCTCCCAGCGACCGTCCTCCAGGTCCTCCACCAGAGGGACGATGATATGGGTTTTGTTCGACACAGCAGGGTGGGGGCCTGAGCAGAAAACACAACGCACGTATGTGAGCGGTGTGAGGGGCCGAGTGACATGTTGGAACAGAGTTTGAGCTTTTGTTTGGCTCAGGAAGGCAACTTTTGCTATTGCACCCCCGACTGAAGCCACATCTGAATACCTGCTGGATTTGAATAAATAGAAACCAAACGGGCAGGAAACTGAATGCACAATCTGGACTAGATACACGCACACACACACACACACACACACACACACACACACACACACACACACACACACACACACCTGATGAGACAGGTTTCCTCAGAACTGCTCTGCTAAAGGGTCTGCACAGAAAACATCAGTTTTCTCCATATTAGTGTCATATTGGAGATGATTGACCTGTTAAAGCTCATTCCTCTTCTCCTTCTCTGACATTAAATTCTGTAATGCTGCATTGACAGATGATAGAAACGTAGCGTTTCTTCCTTTTCTCTAACAAATCCCCTCACAGGTTGCAGCTGCAGGGTGCGATAAAGCTGCAGCTTTCTGTGATTTCCGTCCTGTTTCCTCCCCAGAGCGTCGTGGCCTTGTCTTAATTTGCTGTTCTCTCAAATACCAAAACAAAACCAGTTTGCCGGTCCAGTCAGGAAACGCTACGTCTCCTCGGCTCCGGTCGTGACGACCGATCGGATAGTAAACATGAATAAAAAAACAAAGGGAGCACTGCGTCTGAAAACACATCGAGCCGCCAACTTGCATGGAAGCGGCAGCTGGCTGTGCGCCGCTAGTCTCTGCACCAGAGATGGGCTTTCTGGTGGGAAAATCTTTAAAACGGACACCGGATACTGTAGAGAAGCGAGCCGGTCGATGCAGCAGCTGAGTCAGTGTGGTCTGAATACGCGCAGGGGGTAAAGGTCAGAGTTTTCCTGCAGCATCTGAACAGGGCTCTGAAACCCGAATGCATTCAGTGCCCCAGGAAAAAATTTTTTGCACATCTCCTGAAACTTTTGCATGACATCTGAACCACACAAAAGATTTTCCTATCTGTATTTTAATGGAAAAAGAAAAGTTTTTAGTAAGAAAAAAAATGTAGAGAGAAAGTTATTTTCTTCTGTTTCACAATAATAATGCATTATGATACGTGATTGACAAATGTGTTGCCTTTGTTATTGATTTTATATTATCTTGGGTTGATCCAATTTCATTTGCAAAAAAAAAATCTAATTGTCAAGAAAGTAAAAAATGCACAAAGTGTTGTTTAAAGCCAGAAACAATGTAAAGAAAATTCAAAATTATTTTAAGGTGATATATTTAAAGTCTGTGCACATCAGTTTGTGGAGTGATTTTGTGGAATGGTTTAGATGATAAAATGATTAAAAAGAACAAAAAATGTTGCCCATTTAAAGAGAAAATGTGACAAGTACACAAATGTGTGTAAAAATGAATGAGAGGGAGGCAGAGTGAGTATGGGTACACATGGGAATGATTGGCAGCGGTAAGACCCGCCTTTCTGCCCTGATTGGTTGTTTCTAGCTGGCAGTGAGAGAAGGCAAAGGTGTTCATGTTGTTCACAGCTTATCTGTCTCACATTATACTTTTCACGACATAGTGACAGTTTCAACAAAAATGTAAAAGAATAAGTTTATAAAAGTTACTGAAACTTTAAACTCTGATCTGTAGATGATACAGCAGATTTGTTGGCACATTGATGTACGTTTATATAGCCACATGTATGTGTACATGTGCATGTATGAGTTATTATGTATGTGTTAAATTTGTAGTTTGATTAAAAGCTTTCAGGAAGACTTGGGACAGAACCAGAGAAGTTTTGTCTTACATAATATGTTTCTGGAAAAGTTACCAATGTTTTTTCTCCAATGTGTTTATATATATTTATACATGTTTTAATTGTTCAAATTAAAAAAAAAATCAACAAGGTTGAAATACCACAGTGCTTCTCTGTGAACCGGGAGCTGCATGTTAAAATCTCAACGTGTTGATGGGATGTGGAATCAGACCGTCCCTCCTGACATTCAGCAGTGCTCTGCCGATAGCAGCTGAAGGCTACAGACGATAACTTATCCCATCTATCGAGCAAAACTGTAAATAAACATTCAGTAAGCTTTCTTCACACACACGGGCACGTGCGTGCGCGCACACGCCCACCCACCCACCCACACACACACACACACACACACACACACACACACACACACACACACACACACACACACACACACACACACACACACACACACATCTCTAAAGCCCAAATGCCAGCTTTGCATACAGCAATGCCTCACATCTTCACTTCCCGTCTCATGACTTCCTTCCCATCGAAAAGATTGCGTGCTTCTTCCCCAGGCCCATTTTGTCCCTGGCAATTTCTTTAAGACTCTGTAAGAGTGCAATTGCATCTCTCTCGCTCTCTCTTTAAACCACGTCAGATATTAAGTGAAATTTAGAGCCACTCTGAGCTGTCAGTGGAGGAGGAGGTTCAGGCCTCTGAAAGCAGCACAGAACCGGGCAGAACATTCAACCATCTGTGGCTTTCACCTGGGTTTTTACAAATAACTGCTTGTTTTCGACTCTGCCTGTGATCTGCCTTCCTGCAGGGCGGCTTGTTTTTTGGAGCTGAAAGTGCTTGCAGTGAGATCGGTCCGCATCGGGTACAGCAGGCAGGAAACAGAGTGCTGGTTAAACAAAACTCTGGTTGAATAAATAGTTGTTTTTTTTTTCTTTAACCACTTAACGTGTTTGATTTTGTACAAAGTCCTGCACTCAGCCAAATTAGGACGACATTACACTCAATTCATTTTACTATTCATAAATATGAATAGTTCATGCAACAACTACAAGAAATCATGAGTGAAAAGGTGCAAGAAAGTATAAACCTAGAGCAGCTGCTGACCCTTATTAGCAAAAAGAGAATATTAACTGTTTGATTCAGAAAATTATCATTTCAAATACACGACATGACATCGGCTTAGTTGACTCCATATTGCTCCATCATAATGATTTTCACTTTTCCTTTAAATGCAGAAAGAGATATAAATTTCACTGTGGTGGCGCAGGGGTTAGCACGCCCCACATTCGGAGGCCTCAGTCCTTGATGCAGTTGCTGCGGGTTCGAATCACAGGCCCAGCGACCTTTGCCGCATGTCTTCCTCCCTCTCCTTGCCCTCTTTCCTGTCAGTCTACTGACAGGAAAGACCTTATGACACTCTGTTGGGTTTGGACAGCTCTATTTAGCTCATTTAACTCCTTCTACTTGGTAATCCATCATGTAAAAACATCTCTTTGTATTTACTCGTGTCTTCTTTGTCTCACGGTTTTGCTCACACACCAAGAAAAAAGGTTTCCACAATTACCGAACGTCATCCCGGATTGAGAACAAACCCAGCATCACTTGTGTGTTAAAACTCGACCCGCAGCCATCAGCAGAACAGGCATGTCGGCTCCAGACGCGGAAATTAGGATAATGTTTTATTTTTGCCTTTTCAAAGCAAACAATGACATACACACACTCACATGAGTCAACTGGTTAAACCCAGATTCCCGAATACATAGGAGCTTAATTTTTAAAACACATTATAAAGGTAAAGAAGCAGAAACGGCGAAACTGGATTGGAGCAAAATAGATGTAATCTGAAGGAGGGGAAGATGAGAGAGAGGAAAGCTCCAGATGGGAAACAGAAGTGAGAGGCAGAAGACTAGATCGACAACATGCAGGAAGAAAGAACTTCACTAAATTAAATCTGACTGTGTACAGAGCGACTAATTGTGTGAAGCGCTTTGGAGGAGGAAAAAAGGGAATTCGTTTTTCAAAGTAATGCACAAAAAATAGTTTTATCAGTAGTTTTTACCAGAGGTTTGTTTATCCTTGGATTCATTGACATTTTTCCTATAGTGTAAATCCACAAACAAAAATGTTATTTTCTATAAATAAAGATTTCAACGGTGGAAACAGTTGAGGAATGAGGAACGCAGTGCTGAACGAGACTCGCCGACAAAGACTTTTCATTTTTCTTTTAGTACACAAAGCAAAAGTGGCAAACAGAAACATTTATGGCCGCGTTATTTAATTATTAGTCTTTACATTAGTTTGTCAAAATGATGTTTGCAAATCTAAACAAGGTTCTTTTTTTTCTTTTTTTCTTTCTGCCTGACAGGGACTGAGGAAACTTGCTGAGTGACATTGTCATACTTTATGTATAAAAGGGCAAAATAAAAATTTAACTGAATCATTTCAAAACATCTCTTCTTTTTTTTATTTTTATTTTTTTATGAAAAACTAAACAAAACAGAGAATGTCGCAATCTTTGGATAGATCCTTCCCCCTGTTATGTAAATCTACTGTATGTGGCAGAGTGTAGGTCCTCCTCCCTCTGTGCTGAACACGTTCGATGTGCTGCAGGAATCACGGTGACAAGCGTTTAATTCTGGGAAAAGCCTTGCAAGTCATGATGCGGCCTTGTAAGCTGCATCATGACACTTGGTATCACATGGTGGTGTTTTGCGGCCATGTTTGTTGGCAACGTCACAACCACAAACAAGCCGATTAAAACTTTATGTGGTTTGGGACGATTAACCGTCACGGATCGATTATTGACATGATCGTCAACTGATTTAGTAATAGACTAATCGTTAACAGGAATGTGCAGAGGCTCAAAAAAGGCCAAAAACAACATGACTGATTTGTAAACAAGCCAATACTGTACAAAATATATAATGTTGCATTTAAGATAAAAAACAAAACAAAACAACAACCCGTTTGTCTATAAAGATGTTATAACCATGTAAAGATGTTATAATAAATCAATAATTATTTCTACAAAATTATGACTCCTGAGGTTGGAATACAAAAGCACTGTAACTCTTTTTAAAGTTGTAACTGTGAAAAATGTGGAAAACCATGGATCATTTCCCTTTGTTTTGCATTTCTTTTGTTGTTCTGTCCAACGGCTGACATTCTGATGTGAGAAAAAGTAACAAGAAGAAAACAAGTCGTTTCAATACTTTTGCAAAGTGTTGGGCTCTATTAGCAGAAAGCATCTCGTCTTGTTGATTATGAACAGCAAAAACAAAAGCAATTGTGACACCCTCACTTAAGATCCTCTTAAATTTGACAGGGTTAGGAAAACATCAGATTTCTCTCTGAGCCACAAGAATCATTGTGGGGAGGAAAACTGCGTCCGCGCCACTTCCTGCTCTGACTCTAAGACAGAGGAATTAACATTAAATAAATAATTAAACTTTGTGTCCATGAAAGTAATGAGTTGCTCAGTTTAAAACCGTATTGTTTTTTTTCCCGTTAACGTTTCATGTGTCTCTATGCCTCGGATAAAACACAAAGCGATCAAGTTCATTTACGCTTCCACTGCAAATTAATTCACTTCCTGCCGCTGAGAGAGTAATCAGGCAAACATGTTTCATCTTTTCTTATTGGGATGACAATGACATCTTTCCGATTCATGTTGGTGAATTAGCATTCCTCACACAATCACCTTTTCTCAACATTTAATTTGGCTAATATATAAATTGCTTTTGATCCATGCTGTACTCTGTCGTCTGATTAAACCGGATGTAGCTCGGCTGGTCCCAGCAGTCGCCACGTTGAGAATGTGCATCCAACCTGGAGGACACTTTTGAAAGAATCCCCTCTATTCGAATGGTGAAAACACGCCACCCAGATTATTAAAGAGTCACGAGATTCTTCCATTTATTTAAAGGCCTGACTTTTTTTTTTTTTTTTGGTAAATGATACTTGAGCTTCTTTCTAATCTGCCCTTCCCTCCCTGCTGTCAGCAGAAACCTCAGCAGTCGCTGTGCAGCTCTAGCCAAGTTTCACATATGGCTTTTGAGGGTGGAGAACGGGGATAATTAGCGAGTGGCTGGGGGTGGAGGGGATTGTTTCTATCTGGGATGTCATTTTTAGACAGTTTTCCTTCTGTGAAATCGTTTTGCTGGTATGATCACATATGGAGAGTATTTATGAACCTTGAGTTGTTTCTCCTTAAATGTATTTCATGCAATTGACATGCAGAGGTGGAGGATATTAGGATGTGTGGTTTTAGATGTTTTTCTCAAAAATTGATATGTGGAAAGTGTGCGGTGCATGTTTTTTTTAAGCAACTCCTTTTAGACATCCTTCCTTGTCCAATCAAATCCTTCACAGAAGTTACCAAACCAGAGAACAGAGTAGAAATCTACATAATAATAATAATAAAAACTTCCAGTAGCACCAAACTATTTTGTCAAAAAGCTTCAGAAAGTTCTGTCTCAGGATATGAATGACACACTTCTCAGATTTGTATTGATGGAAAATCCAGAACCATATTTTCTTTTTTCTTTCGTTTTTCAAATTATGCATTTTTCATAAAATAGCTGCAGCAATTGGTTGCGTTAGATTTAACTTAGGAGTGTCAGAGTAAAGAAGGGTTGAACATTAGCACATAAAATTCAGTCTGCCTCATGTTTGTTGCTACAATGTCGTAAACAACAAAACAAAAGTTCAGGTGACTCAGTTGGTGGAATCCAACTCTCTGCAGAGAGTCAGACATGGTTGTCGTTGGTTTGATTCCCGATCTCAGGCCATTTGCTGCACGTCTTTCCCCTCCTCCCTGCCCTCTTTCTTGTCACTTTACCGTTCAATGAGGGCCAAAAGTGCCAAAAAAATCATTTAGAAAAAAACCCCGAGTGACATAAATACTGTAGACAAGGCAATGCAAAATTCCCAATGACGTGGTTTTTAAATTTCGGGTTAGGATTTATTTCACTCGCCTGTTTTCAGCTCCAGATGAAGCTTGTCTGTGTGGGGGTCAAAAGGTCGCGACAAGGTTATCCACATCTGGAAGGTCTGGCCTCGGCGGATGACGAACTTGTCGCTCTGGTAGAGGTTGGTGTGATGCTCCACCAGATTTGCTCCCGTTTTGCTTTTCATCAGATCTATCAGTCGGACGTTCAGAAGAAGTTCTGTGAAAAGAACGCACAAAAAAACCTTTGAAAGTTAAACTTGTGACTCTCTCTATATACATGTATATATTTTTTTCTTTCATTTTAACTTGAGACGTGTTTTCTCGTATTACCATTTAGATTGCCTTCCTCGGTGGTTGGCTTCTCTCCATTTCCCTCCTCCTCTTTATCTGGATCATCCACCCCGGTGACCACGGTCTCTGCGGCGTCGTCGTCATCGCCTGGCCGTTTATAACAGCACGGACACGCCTTACGCAGCCACCGTCGACAGGCACTCTCCTTCTTAACGCCATTCTCTGCCGGTTCCTCCTTCTCCACCTCCACGTCTTCCACAAACGGCAAAGTGACGCTCGGGAACCGGCCGACGGCAGAGCTGTCTCTGACTGAGTGAATCACCGGTGGCATCCTGAGAAGAAGAAGAAGAAGGAGAAGAAGAAAAACTCAGAACAGTTAGATTTTTCTGAATGGATACTGCTGAGCATAATTCTCCTGGTGGTTGCAGCCACAGCTGACGCTCGAAAACAAAACATCACGTCTAATTAAACTACAGCAGCAAACTATTCCAATTTACAGCCCAATTAATTTCTGCAGAGAGGAAATTGGCTTTCCTTCGGAGCTGCAGCTGAGTTTCGCTTCATTTTTAATCCTTTGAATCGACACATTATCCTCTGATGTGGACTGACAGCTTTATTACCAAAGACTCCCACACAAAATGTCTCCTCTGAACGAAAGAAATTCTGATTAGACACAAATGTGGGTTTTTTGTTTTGTTTTTTTTGTCACCTGAAAAGGTCATGGCAAAGCAAACTTGCAGACACTGTTTTGTAGCTACACATGAACTAAAAGTGAAATATGAATAAACAGAAAAGCCACTTCTTATTTAAATTCTGCCTGGTTGTGCTTTGTGTGTCTTGGCCATACATTTGGTTTTTTTCATCCATGTGAAGCATCAGTTTCTTGAAAGTGGGGAAGGAGACGTCGTGGGCTCTGAAAACAAGCCCTGACCGTCTCTCTAATAGCTTTTTCACAGAAAGCCTCAGATTCATCTATCGACTTCCTGTCCAGAGCTCGTTTTCATCCTCTGTGTGGATGAAAGACGTGGTCCACTTCAACCTCTTTCCCGAGCTGCTGTCACGCAGTTTGTTTTCGTTTCGTTTCCGTTTACCTTGCCGCACGCCGGCGTGTCTAAAAAGGCCGAAGTCCGAAAGTGGAGAATTGAAACCCATTTTGTGGGACGTCAACTCCTGCCGCATCTCTGGATCCTCGGTTCTGATCAGTGCCTGTCCTGTCTGAGCTCTAATCAGTTTTATGAGATTGCAAACCAGTGCAGTGTTAAATTGCACTAAATAAAACCCTATTCCACAGAATACAAATGTAATCACTGCACAGTTGATGGGATAAAAATCTTTAACTATTTAAACTGTCAAGGAGCTGAGAGGGAGCAGAACATTTTAAGTGTTTGGTTTGGTGCCGATAAAAACGCCTCTAATTATTAAGAAAACTGAACTTATTCCGCTTGGATATCACAAGAGAAATGTCCTGTTTTCAGATGAGTTCATATTTATGTCACTTCATATTTTTTATTCAGTCATTTGTTCTTTAATATCTTCTTTTGTCCCGTCTTTAGAGGGTAAACGATAAGTTCATAGCGGCGCATGAAGTTGAAGCGTTCGAATCACAAACTCGTTCAACGCGTCGAGCTGCGAAAGCATCTGTGGCATCCAAACGTAGCTGGAGGTGAAAGAGTGTGCGACAGTTTCGCATAAAACATTCATAGATGACATATTTACAAACTGTAGAGATTTATTTCCGGCTGCATTGTTTGTCGTTTCGAGTCGAGCCGGGTTTGCAGCAGGGAGTCGGACTGAATGCCACAAAGCTCATCTCGCTGCCGAGTAACGTCAAAACGGTTTCATCAAACTTTGGGGTCATTCTTGAGAGGAAGGCGCCACGACCTGCGCACAGGTCGCCATGTTGATCACTGGGTTCAACACTCAAAACGTCGTGGGTCAGATCGCGCGCCTAATTTTCTCAAACAAGGAGTGCAGCGTTTAAAATGACACTGGTCTGTTTTCGTGTCTGCGTTTCAATCTTTGAAGGGGAAAAAAAATGCAAATGAGAAAAACAAAAACAGGTTTAGATCCACAGGGTTCCCTTGACTCGCTTCATTACGGCCAAACACTTTACAGAAAGAAAATAAACTTCTGCAGCCTTGTAACGAAGAACAAAAATAAAGTCAGATTCAATACATTTAAAGATGACAATTTTCCGCCTACAGCTGATGAAAACATGACATTTCAGATTAGAAGCATTACTACAGACCAATGAAAACAATTGGTACCAATAAGGCTACCCTTATAGCCTCAAAGGTATGCACTATTAATGAATAGTGCATAGACCACTATTATGTAATCTCTAAACATTTCATGAATAAGAAACAACAGTTTATTACCCATTTATTAAGGGCGAAGAGGGCAACAAAAATCTACCAGTTTCTTGGCAAATAGTAAGCAATACTTCACCTCACATTTCAGAATACTTTCTAAGTACAATAAGCATTTGTAAGCAGAATTTTTTTAGCACGTATTCTCCTTTTCATCCTTACTTACTGCATAATAAGCTGTTATTAATGATTCATAAAACATTTATTTAGCCCTGTTGGAAAGTGGCACCAAAGATTTTAACATAAATATTTCACTTGTCTGCTTCAAGGTTCTCATGTGAAGGTAATTTTAATCTGCAGGCCTTATTCACCTTATTCAACGTCAAGGGATCAATAAAGTCAAGTCTAAGTCTAAGTCTAAGTCTAAGTCGGGCATGTTGGAAGAGAGGGGAACTGTGCGAACCGCACGGCGTTGTCACTCAGCATGTCACAGATATTTTTCATTCATTACGCAACACCTTCTGTGTCCCAGAAAGGAGAAAGACAAGTGGAAATCATGTACAACTAGTAACACAAGCAGCTGTTTGGATTTCCAGTGACGGTGTGGTTGTGGCAGGTGCAACAGATTCATGGCAGACATTGTGTCACAGGAAGCGTGAAGCATTTCTTACATGTGAATTATGTTGCTTTTTGTCAAACAGGACCCTTTTTTGTTCCTTCCCCCCGATTCAGCGTCTTTCTGGGGACTGACCCCTACAGAGGGCAAGTTGAACACAAACTGTCTTTACGTGAGCACCGAGGCATTTTGTCTTCCCGTGTCTTGAACCGACCGAAAGTGTTTTCCCGCACACGAGGGAAACATTCCTCTCCAGGAATGTGACAACCAACCAGGTTGAGGCGAAGCCACGGAAGTGACAGTGAGTTCACGGCTTATTCACATACCAGTAAATCTGTGGCAGGCGGGAGAATCAGCGGGCGTGCGACTGGGAGGAGAAAGTCCCCCTCCCAGCTCAGGATTGTGGCGTTCTGCTGACAGACGAGCCGAGAACGAACCTGACAAAGAGGCCAATCTTCCAACCCCACAACGTCAGACGGTTTATGGAGCAGAGGAGAGTGAACAGAACTGACACTGTTGATTAAGTTGTTTCCTTTAGGAGTCATAAATTAAAAGTAATCCTATACGCCAAAAATGTAAAATAGACTCCAATTTGCTCATCTGGTCGCCAGTTAAAGCTCGTGGTTGTTTTGAACACAAACAAGTCAGAGAAGAAGCAGCAAAATGTTTAAAAGGAGAATTTTGTCCCCCAACATCTCAAAGCTGGTATTAGCCGCTGTGAACAATAGCTCTATTGGATTTGATTTAGTGCACTGCATGGTTTACTCACAATACCCTGCAGATATGTCGACACCCCTGGTGAAGGTGTGTAAAAAGCTCTACATGATTTCCACCCCCCTCCCCCTGTTTTACTGCAGTTGGCTCATCTCAAACTATCCACCTTATCCCTGCTTGTTCTGCTTCCCTGCTTGTTCTGCCGCTCCGGTGCAGCGGCACCGGAGCGGCTGGTTTCAGGTTGTAAACTGCGGAGTGGCCTCTGTCTTTAAGATGTAAAAACTGTTTCATAACTGAGACGCTGTTTACATGTGAAAAAAACTGTAGGACTGGGACAAGACTAGAAATACAAAATAAGGTGCATATCTATTTTTTTAAGTAGAGGCTAATTTAGCCAAGACATGAGAACATATTGAAATAAGTCAGGAAATTGCTGCAATGACGTATAAAAAAAACAACTACAGTAAGTGCAATAATCAAAGTTTCAGGGGTGCCTTAATGTTATTCCCTGAACAAAATTATGCTTAAATTTTGACAAATGTTTGAAGAATCCTTGAATCTCCATTCAGGCCTGACTAAACGCTTACTCCACCAAAGCTCCGCCCATTTGCCCCAAGCCTCTCCTTGGAGCTGTGGTCTCCAGGCCAGTTTCCGCTTCACAGAGCAGGCCTCCCCATGTGCCTCCTCCACTCAGCTCCTCCAGACTAGCGGCAGCAGGAATCAGCAAATAGCTGGTCGAAGTGTGCATCTGCTGAACTTTTTGTTAGACCAATGTTCCTAAGAACAGTTTTAAGCAGCATTACATGTCAGTGTTAAAGGCAGGGTGTCTGAAAGAGCAGGAGCTTCTTAAAGAGACAGATGCCCAATTTCAGGGCGTCGAATTAGGACTTCAAATTTCCTTTAGGTAACGTTTAATACAGCATTTGTTTCACAACTGAAGGCTACACAGATGCTTAATTGTGCTATAAAATGAAACCATGTGCCTGGAAAAGACATAATACCAGCCCTTTAAAACAGATAAAACTGTGACAGAAAAAGATGGCTATAGAAGCTCGCCTGGGTTCACTGATCAAAAAATCATCCCTCCTTCAAAGTCGGTCTCAGTGGCCTGACTTATACATCCTAAAAGCCGTGGGATTAGTTGAATGGAAGAGTGCAGTGATTATTTATTGATCTGCAAAAGGTTCTATGCAATTTTCAGAGAACATTGGAGAAAGCGGGGCACCGATACTCTGCCTCGGTAAGGTGAGCGCATGTGTGGAGTGTGAATTGATCCAGAAAGGAAAATGGATTTAAATAAGATGCACAGCACTGTTATCTAGTGGCTGAACAAAAACTGGGCTTACATTTCTTTATTCTTTGGTGCTGGAGTCTCTGTTGTCATTTTTGTCTCTTTATTCTTCTCTAGATTGTTTTTTTTTTTTCTTATGGGGATAAAAAAAAACTGCCACAGTTTGAAAACTAAATACATTTAACACTTAGTCAATTTAATCAGCATAATTGTTCTTAACCAATCAGATGTCGGGATATTTTTAATGCAGATGTGGAATTAGTTTAGTTGTTTCAGGGTACACAACACAGAAATACATAGTTAATTACACACAGAGATAATTAAATATTTATATATATATATATATATATGTATATGTGTGTGTGTGTAAATATGCACTTAACTGTTGACATATTTTAACAT